ATGGAGTTCTTAAAGGTTCTATTTGGCTTATTTGCAGTTCACATGCGCTTCCTGAGCAGTACCGGAAATTGATGACAGACCCAAACTCGCCTATCATTGATTTTTATCCCACTGGTATTTTTGTTGTATGATGCATTCATTATTTCAATGCCATGGGACATATTTTCACTTTTTAATATGGTTTGTATATTTGTCAGATTTTGAAGTGGACATGAATGGAAAGCGGTATTCATGGCAGGTATTGGCTAAAAATATACTGCTACATTTTCTGATAGAGTGAGAGGATATCTTCTGTCATGTTATATCCACTTCTTCATCATATTATCAGAAACACCATAATCCCAACTAGTTGGGGTTGGCTACATAAAAGTGATAGACTTGTACTCCCTCTATTCTTTAGTAAGTGTCGATTTGTAGGAAAGAACTCAAAGAAGTGTTGTCACATAAGTGCAGCTTTCATATCTCACTAGTGACAGTATTAATTGCTCATTTTCGGATACAGCTCAGCAATGTTTGAAAGGGCATTCTGCCTTGTGCCATATGGCATGCATTTAGGCTTTTTTCGAGAGCTTAAGCCCTGAGGCTGGGGCAATGTCCAGGTCTTCAGGGAATTATGCTTAAGCCTTATTTTTGTTTTGAAAATCTTAAAAAATAGTAGTACATACCAACAAGACCAGTCAAGCTTTTTAAAACATCAGCCTTGTGACTTGTGACTTCCTTTTAAAACCACAACCACCTATATTTGATTTGACAGTCTCCACTTGTGTATTTAGCTTCCATTTTTTTAATTTTCTTTGTTTTTGAATAACTTTCTTCATGTTTGACTATCCACAACCAATTCCACGGTATTAATTAATTCCTTAATTCATTTATTTGCATAAGTTTTCCATTTAAAATAATAAAATATTTTTGCGTATTAACCCGAAATGCCTTGAGGTCTGCGCCTTACACTCTAACAACAAAATGCCTCAACTGCGCCCTAAGCGTTTGAAAGTCACGAATCATGGGTAATGTTTCATTAGCTCAAACAAAAATTCTTAATGTGTAGGGCATTGCAAAACTACCATTCATTGATGAAGCCCGCCTCCTTGCAGAAGTTGCAAAGATTGAGCATACATTAACGGTAGGTTTTGAATCTTCTCGAAGTCACATAAATTTTACTTTAATGAATGTAATCTAAACACATTGATGCAGGATGAAGAAGTACGAAGAAACAGTGTGATGTTTGATATGCTATTCATATCATTATCTCATCCTCTATCTCCATACATCTTTTCTCTTGACAATCGCTGCAAACAGTTAACAGACAAGGAAAAGGTGGAAGTAAAGGAGATAATTGACCCAGGAGCAAGGTTTATGTTGCCATATTTGTTGTTAAATGAAAATCATCAGTTCCTTGCCTTATTCTTTAAATCTACAAGTAGTTTTGAATGCTAGAAGCTTCTATACTTGTCTTTGTTTCCTGAAACTGTGAATTAATTTGGCATATCATTGTTTCTACTCTGATTGATTGTCAGTGGCGGGATGAATGGCTTTTTATCCCTTTGTGCGGGAGATCCTTGCCCTACAATTTTCAGATCACCTCTTCAAGGCATGGAAGATATTATGGATAACCAAGTCATGTAAGAAGTTTGTCCTTTTAAAATTATTTTGGTTCAAAAGACACAATTGGCCTGAGTAGGTAAGATACCTGAGATTGTTAATTTACCTTTTTATTTTATGCTTTCAGATGTGCAATATACAGGCTTCCAGATGCTCATAAGCACATTACTCGACCTCCAAGAGGGGTTATTTTCCCCAAAAAGGTATTCATTGTCAAATAATTATGATTATAATAAGTTGAACATGATTCTTATAGGATTACCATTAAGGGGCTATTTACATGGTAGATTTTGGCGGGGTTTGGAGGGGAAGGCTTTGGAGTGCTCTCAGTCTATATTTTGATACATGTTTGAGATTTAATAAAAGTTGAAAGATTTACATAATGTGTAGACTATACTCCATAACATTTTAATCATCTTTTCTTCATTTTATGAAACATTCTACAAAGTATTCATCAAGAAACAGATTATGCCTCCCGACGCTCCTTCAAATCCCTCCATCCAAACAGATCATTTATTGTTCTATGAATCTAATAGTATATTGGCTTGTGTTTCTTTAGAATGTAAATAAGCATATTAAGCACGTTCTAGAAACATATATTTACTCAAAAGCCTTAGAAATTAGATAGTTTGTACCATTTGGTTTAAATGCTACTGATTCAGGTTCTATATATCATGGATATTTACCAACTTCTTGAATACCTAATTACCTACACAATTCTTAGAAATACTTCAAAGTTTGTACCATTTGGTTTGAATGCTACTCACTCAGGTTCTATATATCAGGGATATTTACCTGCTCGAATACCTTCACAATTCTTAATAATACTCCATTCATTCCTGTTTAATGTTCCGGTTCTCTTTTCACATGAAGGGTATGAAAGATGAAACTGTGGTTGAGATTTATGCAGAGGAGTGAAATAATATGGGTCATGATAGTCCACGCAATTCTTTCATGACAAGGAAATAGGATCTAAAAAAGAATGAAGGAATATAAGAAAGGCACAAAAGGAGTAACAGTTTGCACGTGTTCATCAATTTTTCCCTTAGAAAATACAAACAAAGTAGTCCTATGTACAAAATACAAAATTATTAAAGAAGCGAAAGGTATTTTGGGAAGAAATGTACTCCGTATTTATTTCCATTAAAAGCATTAAAAATGATCTATAAATTGGATCAACCCTTACAGAGGGGGTGCAAAATTCTATCTGCAGCTAGATCTGTATTTAGACAGGTGCACGGTTCATTTAATATACTGTATATTTCTATTGGGGAGTATTGTTGAGACATCATTTTGATCTTTGTGTGATCCTTATGTTTGCAGACTGTGGGGTTTGGTGATGTGAAACCTGATCCTGTACTTTGGCATGAGGATTCCGGAAGGAGACATTCGGATAATGGAAGGTAAAAACTTCATCTCAATGGTTTTAATTGCTATCATCTTTAGATGTGAGACATTTCTTCTTGGGGGAAATATCTCCTCTGTGATGCAAATTTTATTGTTCTTTTACGTAATTTATAATTTGCATTTTGCAGACACAATATTCCAGGATCTATACGTGATCGACAACTTGCAGATGCTGCACATCGGCTTGTAGCTAATAGTTTACAGATAAAAGGAGGTAGTGGTAGGGGTGAGTATGTCGATCATAGATATGCACTACCACCTACATCCTACCCAGGTGTATATGGCCCACCTATGCAATACCCCTACCAATCAGACAGATATAATAATGGTCATGAACACACCTGGGTTGGACCTAGTTCAAGCTATTCAAATCCAACACCCTTGCAAGACCCATATTATCCTCATCATTTGGCTGGCTCCCACAGGGGGTTCGTCCCTCATCACGAAAGGGATTATCATCATAGACCGGGAGGAGGGTATTATGCCCCAGGTGGCGTAGACCCTTACCGTTCACATGTGAACCCGCATCCCTTCCATCCTAGCCCTCGTATACCACCACCACCACACCAAAGTGGATACTACAGCAATGCAAACTATCAACCTTATGATCCATGGGTAGGCGGTGGGGTATCCCCACACCAGAGCAACCCAAGGGATGATAGTAGAGGAGGATATAGTAATAAACGCACACACAATTCCAGTAATCGATATGCACCTTTAAGTAGGGGTTCAAATAGACAACCTCCACCTGACTATCGACACTAGATGAGTGCAGTCCTTTTTTTCTTAGATTTGAGGATCTCAGCTAACTTTACAGTCTGTAGTTGGGTGTTTTGCAAAAAATTCCATGTTGTCAATGTCTATGTTGACACTTGTATCCAGAGTACCAAACACAGTAACCAAACTCATGCGGGTCCCATTTGAGAATAGTGAGACCCACATAAGATTGTTTCTATATTTGGTCATATGAGCACATCGAAGTGTGTCGTATTGGCTCCTTGGGAGAACTTGGTGTTCCTCTTGCTATATCCAAACATATACGAACCCATTGTGAAAGGAATATGGAGCAAGGCAAAGCAGAAGTGATCATCATTGTGTTGCTTCAAGCTATTCCAAGTATAATCTATATCTTCTGCTTGACTTTGTAATTGTATCATAGTGCGTTGTTTTTAAATCGGTTATTATATACATTCTTTTTTTTCGTGTTGTTAAATTAACTTTACTTACTGTAGTAATACTGTAGTAATAAGCTGGGTTATATGTTCAAGAAAGGTATTTGTAGTGTCGGATGATGAGTTACTTTGAACCAGATGTTGGGTGTTTCATGATGTATGCCGTTGAAGCATTTGATGATTTTGATCTAATTGTTACTTGCCATGAGCAAAACTTGCTACCCTCTTGTTGTACACTTTTTCTGTTTTGTGTTGTTCTTTGGTGGGTTTCCAATACAAGAGATGTCTTTTAAAGATATACTCCACTTTTTCGAGTCACACATAGATTCCATACATTCAAGATAAAAATGCCAAATGTCTAAAGTCAAGGAAAAAATAGGGAGTATAAAATTGCGTGGTTGAAAGTCAATTATAAAATCATTAGAGAACTTTGTATTATACTCTTTTGATCCTAAACAAATTAAATAGTATTCTATATCGATTTAAATTGTTTCTTGTCTACATAGTTTGATTGAAGTTATTTTTAATTTAACTTATTTAAAAATGAGTACTTTTTTTCCTAAATTAAATTGCATGTTTATTTTATTTTTTATTTTGGTTAGTCATTTAATAAAATAATAGTCATGTCACTTTTAATTTTTATTTTTTTAAATTTTATACTGTTTTATATAAAATGCTTTTAAAATCATTTCAGTTAAAAATTGTAAATCGAAATAGACAATTTAAATTAATACAAATGGAGTATGTAATTAAAAAAAATAAAAGTTATGTAGTATATGATGTATTGTATATAGGGGTGAGCATGATACGGTATTTGGTTTGTACCGATACGATATCAAATATTTTGATTCGGTATGAGATTTTACTCCAAACCGATCCTGATCTCGAAATATTGGTTTGGTATGGTTCATAATGGTTCAGTTTCAGTTTCGGTAAATATTGGGTTGAATATATATACTTAGGGGTTGTTTGGCAACTTCTGAATGGGTAAGTGCTGAACCAGTAAGAGGTCTGAATCATTAAGTGCTGAACCAGTAAGAGGTCTGAACCATTAAGAGCTAGTATATTGCTTAACTATTCAGAGGCAAATGTCTGATCAATTCAGATAACAGCTCTTAACCATTCAGACTCTGTATAATACTTAACCATTCAGAAGCAAATCTCTTAACCATTCAGACATCTAAACCATTAAGAGGCTGAAACAAACAGTCTGAACCATTAAGTACTGAATCATTCAGACATCTGAACCATTAAGAGGCTGAAACAAACAGCCCCTTACTTAGTTTACTCTTTGAAATATACAAAATTTTTTATCTTTAAAAAATCGAAAGCATATTCAAATACAGAAAGATAAACAATTGGAAAATGAATAATTATATGCAAAAAATGCTTATAAAACCTTGCTTAAATTAATGACAAATGAAAAAAAAACATAGCTTAATTTACTTCATACTCCCTCCGTCCCGCTATATTCGTCTACTTTTGACTTTTGGAACTTTTCTTCGAAGCACTTTGACTAATCAAATTCTCTCAATGTGTAAGCCTAAATATAGTCATGTGTGATCTTGTTTGATTTGTCTTAACATATAGATTATTAATATATAATTTCTATAATTTTTTAATATAGAAATTACAAGATAAAATGGATTAAAAAAGTGCATTGAATGGTGTGTAAAAATGAAAGTAAACAAATACTCTGGAACGGAGGGAGTATTTCACAAACAAAAGACAACGAGTGATAACAATATAGGATTTCAAATGTTTGTTAATTTTTTTTATATCTGTCTACAAAAAATTAAAATTCAAATCAATGAATATATAAATAAAAGATTATTTTTAATTTATCTACACTTGAACCAACTATTCAAAACCAATTTATTTTTTAATGAAGAAATATAGAAACACTGATAATTTTATAACATATTTGTATATATGTTCGGTTCAGGATTTTTCTGTATGAGAAATTGTCTCGTATCAATTTCAAACATCGGGCCAACCATTCAGTTCGGTATGATATTGTTCTTTTTTGTTACTCCCTCCGTTCATGTAAGATCTTCCCATTACGCGTTACGAGGCTTGACCAACTTTATTTTCAATTCAATTTAATTCATTATAGGAGTAAAATTATAAAATAAAATTTATATAGTAATAAACTACATGAAAAGTTCTACAAAACTAGAGGTGACAAAACTATATTATTTTATGAAATGACTAGTAAAAATGAGCAAACAAAGTGATTAAAGTTTGACCCTATGAATAGTGTCTGGGAAGATCTATGGTGGACAGAGGGAGTACTTTATTAGTTCAGTACTCCCTCCGTCCGAAAATATTCTTCCCACTTTCCTTTTTGGTCCGTCCGGAAATATTCTTTTCATTTCCTTTTATAGTATACTATTTAAGGATAAATATCAATAATACCATTCTATTTTATCACAAATATACTTTTTTAGTACTTTTTTAATAATAAAAGGAGATTTAAAATTTTATAGTATGTGCATTTTTGAAAATTTTGCATTTTTTTGCTATTTCTTAATAAACATGTCAAGTTGGATAATGTCGTTTTTTCAAGAAATTTGGTATGAGGCATAAAAGGGTCTGGCTCTGTATTGTACTGAGGCACGATGTGAAGGAAATACAGAAGTTAGGTGTATCCCAAACTCACTAGTCACTAGTCTCAGTACCCTCAAACAATCACCCCTTTTTGATCTGCAGCATCGGAAATTCGACGAGGGGAGCATTAATAAATTAATGGAGGGAACGGTCCGGTGCTCCGCGAACTATGTCCCGCTCACTCCGATCAGCTTCTTGGAGCGCTCTGCCGTGGTGTACGCCGATAATGTCTCCATCGTCCACGGCGCTCGCCGGTTCACTTGGAAACAGACCCGCCGGCGGTGTCTCGCCCTCGCTTCTTCTCTGTCTCTCGCCGGAATCTCCCGCCGCGATGTCGTGAGTGGTTCCGCCCTTCTGACTTAGCCCTTCAACCGATTTTCACCATTAAATTCAATCCTCTCTAATGTTGAAAATATATTTATTATATTATCCCTGAAGGATTCTTTATTTAAAATTAACTTTATAAATTACGGAAGATTAAATTTTTAAAATCAATTGAAGATTCCCCCCCCCCCCCAATTATTGTATATTACTCCAGTATTTTTTCAGAATTGCAGTTTTCATCTTTTTCTTTCTTTCTGGTTTCTAATTCATAGCTGACCCATCTTTCGGTTGTCCTGACTTCTGAGTTCTGAATCAATAAAAAAAGATTTGTTTTTGAGGCATTAAGTTTGCGGTATTTGATATTTAAAAATCATTTCATGATCGATTATACGTGGAAAACAATATTTGGGTCGAAAGCCTAATTATGATTTATGAAATGATTCTCAAACATAGAAGATCATGAACGTAATATCTTATAATTGGGGACTATGTATGAGAAAATCTCATGTTATAAAGGATCGTTTATGAAATTTATTTAATTATGGTTTATTTTGTAGATAGATTGCTCATAGTGGTCCTGCTTAAATGTGTGAGCAGGTTGCTGCCCTGGCTCCAAATATTCCAGCAATGTATGAGCTTCACTTTGGAGTTCCAATGGCAGGGGCTGTCCTTTGCACTCTCAACACCCGCCACGATTCATCAATGGTGGCTACTCTGCTCAGACATTCTCAGGCTAAGCTCATATTTGTAGATCACCAGTTCTTTGACATTGCCAAGGGAGCCCTTGAGATTCTTCTATCGAGCTCGACGAATTCCAAGTTGCCTTCCATGGTCGTAATCCGCGATGATGATGATGATGACCGAAAACCGGCGTCCACCCAAGAAGGATGTTTGGATTACGAGTCGTTTTTGGATGGCGGGAGTAGTGATTTCGAGATTGTGTGGCCAAATGACGAACTCGACCCCATATCTCTGAACTACACTTCGGGCACGACTTCTAGCCCTAAAGGAGTTGTTTATAGCCACAGGGGAGCCTATCTGAACGCTCTCGCCACCATTCTCCTCAACGACATGACATCCATGCCTGTCTACTTGTGGGTTGTTCCCATGTTCCACTGCAACGGGTGGTGTCTCACGTGGGGGGTGGCCGCGCAAGGTGGCACCAATATCTGTCCGAGGAGTGTCACTGCAAAGGGCATATTCGACTCGGTCGCAGACCACCGTGTGACCCACATGGGAGGTGCACCCACTGTCCTGAACACGTTAATAAACGCGCCCCCGGGAGTGAAGAGGCGGTTTCCAGCAAAAGTTGTGGCCATGACCGGTGCTGCACCGCCGCCACCCCACGTGCTATCCAAGATGGAAGCTCTAGGGTTTGAAGTGATCCATTCCTACGGCTTGACCGAAACATACAGTCCGGGGACTATATGCACGTGGAAGCCCGAGTGGGACTCTTTACCCCCCGACACGCGGGCTAAACTCAAGGCCCGCCAAGGGTTGAACCACATTGCGATGGAAGGGGTAGACGTCAAAGACCCTTCGACAATGGAAACCGTCCCCTCGGACGGGAAAACCTTAGGGGAAGTGATGTTCAGAGGGAACACAGTGATGAGTGGGTATCTGAAGGACTCAAAGGCAACACAAGAGAGTTTCAGAGGGGGGTGGTTCAGGAGTGGGGACTTGGGGGTGAAGCACCCGGACGGGTACGTCGAGTTGAAGGACCGGTCGAAGGACATCATCATTTCAGGGGGAGAAAACATCAGCACCATTGAGGTCGAGGCGGCGGTCTCCGGCCATCCGGCGGTTCTCGAGGCGGCCGTCGTGGGCCGGCCGGACGATCACTGGGGGGAGACGCCGTGCGCGTTCGTCAAGCTCAAGGACGGGTTCGACAACGTCACCTCTGATGACATCATCAGGTTCTGCCGGGATCGGCTGCCGCGCTACATGGCTCCGAGGACTGTGGTTTTTGGTGATCTGCCCAAAACTTCCACAGGGAAGACACAGAAGTTCCTTCTCAGAGAGAGGACCAAAGCCATGGGAAATCTTTCAAAGGGCAGTAGTAAATTATGAGGTACTCTCAATGTAATGAAATGGATTATATGCAGTTGAAGCATTGTGTATTACTTTTAATTTTCATTATTTATGGAAATAATGTTTCTATTTTCTGTTTTACGAAAAGAATTATCCATTTTAAGAAATCCTCTTTTATATATGTTGATTCTGTTTTGTTGGAATGAGTAATGATGTATTACTTTTAATCACCTCTCTAACATGTTTTTTTTAAAGTCACCTCTTGAACTAATACTACGGATATTTTTGAAAAATCTCGTTTTATATTACATACTCCATATTATTTTGAGGAAAGGTGATTTTATTAAATAAAGTGAATTTTTGGAATTTTTTTGAATACTTTTCTTAAAAGATTTTTTTTCAAAAAATATTTTTTAATGGATTATCTTCTTAAAAGTTTTTAAAAAGTTTATCATCTCATTGCGTGTTCTAAATTCTTTTTTATAGTAGAATGTGGTTTTTTGAAAATTGAAAACAAAGTTGGTTTTTTTTCAAAATACTTTAAAATGTGTGTTTTTTTAAAAAAAAATGAACCCCATAAGAGAAAGTGTGAGAGTATTTATTTATAATTGAGTTAAACAAAAATAAAATAAAGATTTTAGGGAAAAATTTCACTCGTGGTAATATTTTATGTGATGAAATGAAATACATCAAAAGTAACTAAAACTAGGGGTGAGCATGGTACGGTATGGTACGGTATTTAGCCCGTACCGATACCGTACCAAATATTTCGGTTCGGTATGGGATTTTACACCGTATCGATCCCGATCCCGACATATCGGTTCGGTATGGTTCGGTATCGGTTTCGGTACAAATCGGGATGAATATACATACCTACTTTACACCTTAAAGTTTAACAATGTCCCCTTATTTTTGAAAATTAAAAGTGAATTTAAATAAAAAAAACGTGAAAAATTAAAAAAAAATGAATATTTAAATGCAAGGGATGCATATCAAAACATAGTTTATATTTCACAAACTAAAAAAATGAACGACAACAAAGGGTTTTTCGAATCTTTGTGAATACTTTTATGTTTATACACAAAAACTAAAACTCAAATAAAAGTATAACTTACACATGATAAAACTTGAACCAATATTTTTTTAAAAATTACTCCGTATTATTTAGTGAAGGAATATGAAAAATATTACTCCGGGTTATTATTTTTTATAATATTTTAGTATATATGTTCGGTTCGGGATTTTCGGTATGGTACGTCACCTCGTACCGTTCCCAAATACCGTATCGACCATTCGGTTCGGTACGGTTCGGTTTCTTCTCGGTACTTTTTCGCTTCGGTATTTTTCGGTTTGGTATTCTCGGTATTTTCGAGAAATTTCGGTATCGGTTCGCTACTTGCTCACCCCTAACTAAAACCGTCTTACATCTGGAATTTGTTTGGGGGGCAGAGCATTAGAAAAGTTAAATAACTCCTCCGTATTTCCCCTAAATAAAAACAATCGCTGCAAAATTCTGAAAATTTCAAACCTACCCCTTCTCCGCCGTCGCAACGGTTCCCCGAAACGGTGGCGCTGCTCACTCGCACTCTCCACTGCAGTTACTCACTTATCGGCAATTTCCACTGCATTTCTCCCTCTCCCTTCTCTCTTCCTTCAGTTCGTTTTGAAAGTTGTGTACGGAAGGTATAATCGTATTTTCTCGATTCATTTTTTTTAGTCTCTGCTATTCGATTTAATTTCCTGCCCGGTTTTTCGTCGATCTTTTCATCACTTTCATAAATTTTGGTGGGATGAATCTTAGATTACAATCATGTTCGTATCGATGGTACGAGACAGGCTATTGCATTGCATGTGTAGGTCGGAGATGATGTTCTTACTTGATTCTACTTTACCTTTTAAAACATTGTTATGTAGTTAGATCCGGATAAACAGTGTTTATTTCATCAGATTGGCATTTAAGTAGCGGAATAGTTAATAGTAAGAGGAGGCTGTTGGTTGAAAGAGTTCAATTTTTGTTGATCTTTTTGGTTTCAACTGCGAGGCAACGGATTTATATGATTCGGAGCCCGACCAGAGAATTTTGCAACCATCTGAACTTTCAATATTTTTTTTCTGGGATAGAAATTGAGTAATTGAGGGTAGGGCATTAGGGTTTGCATTTTAGAAATGATTATCTGATGAAAGAAAAGTTGTATTTTGTAAAAGTAGAAGAGTTAGTGCTCTTACTGGATTTAACATTTTTCTGTTTATCATGTTCCAGGGCATAAACATGATTGGTTCTTTACTCACCAGAGTGTTTATGTATGCACTCGATCCATATAAGATTCGTCTTTGCTATTTTAGAGGTTGCAGAAATTGCAGATCCTTCAATCTATTGTTGTTTTTTTTAATTACAGATTAATCTTTGGTTATGCTTATCCTGCATATGAGTGCTTTAAATCTGTGGAAATGAACAAGCCGGATTATCAGCAACTTCGTTTTTGGTGCCAGTACTGGTAATATGAAGTGCATTTTGAAACCTTTAAGCATACCTACTTGTATCCCTATAGTAGCACTAAACTCCCTCTCCAAATTTTCAGGATCATAGTTGCAATAATGGCAGTTTCTGAAAAGATTGGTGATGCCTTTATTTCATGGTAAAGATTTTGGATAGACATTCATATCAATCTACTGTATTTGGCATTCATGCTTCCTTTTTCAATACTTTGGATCTTTTTGTATTGTAGGATTCCAATGTATAGTGAAGCTAAGCTGGCATTCTACATATATTTGTGGTTTCCAAAAACCAAGGTTAAATGCCCTCTGTTTATGCACAAATTTCTCATATCATCATCCAATTTTTTTCATTTTCATGTTATAATGATTTTTCTGGATCATTTAGGGAACAACATATGTATATAATTCATTCTTTAGACCATTGGTTCTAAAGCATGAACATGAAATTGACCATAACCTATTGGAGTTAAGGATTAAAGCTGGAGATATTGCACTTATGTACTGGCAAAGAGCGGCTAGTTATGGTCAGACGAGAGTGTTTGAAATCCTGCAGTTTATTGTTACACAATCAAGTTCATTTGGATCATCTCCTTCTGCACAGGTATGAACTCGGGCAAACATTTAGTTTATGAAATTCTTGATCTCTAATTTCTTGTTAATCTGCCACATCAATGTACTTTAATTGAAATCACTTTGTTGGCAGTTTTTTTTCTTCTGAAAAGATATGTTCTAAAGAACCCTTTCAGTGGGCGATCGCCGATAGGCTTGGGGGTAGACATTTTTGTTTGGTTTGTGCATTTTGACCAAACCAAGCTGAATTATCCCAAACCAACACCGTAATATTTGTAAATTGCATTGTACTCTGGTAATGATTTTTTCCCAAACCGTATTAACACGAACCAACCCAAACCTATTCATACTAATCTGAACAAAAAATAACACCGTAAAGCTCCAATGAAAAAAACAAAACCACAAAAAACCCTAACTGGACCTAATTAATTTTGGTTATAACCTGGAATCCATTTTCCTAACTTGTTTACGCCAAAGCAAACCAAAATACGAAAAAAAAATATCAACAGAACCCATAATTTCCTTCCCCTTAGTTAGGCTTCCCCCTGACTGCTTATGTTTTTAGTGTGATTTTACCCTTCCTATGCTTCACTCCACTAGACCACTTACCCCTATTTTATTTTAAAAAAAATAGACATAAGAAAAGGATGTTTATTGTGCCATTTTATCTAGTTCATGATTTACCTGATGCTTAAATATTGCCAATAACGACTTTCATCCATTGGAAATAGTGGGTTGTTAGCTAGCTTGTTCGGAAAAAAAGTTGGAAAGCTGAACCATACTCTTTCATGAATGTATATCTAACCATATGGAGTGTGGGTGTATTTCTTTGTGTTGCAGCCACAAAAGCAAGGCAACACTAATACTTCGTCAACCCAAACACCCATAGCTGTGCCTGTAACAACAAAACCAGAGAATGAAGAAAAAAGTCCTCCTGTTACAAGTGAACCTTCAACTGAGCATAAAAAAGATGCAGCAGAAGGGGCCCCACCTTCGGAACCACAACCAACAGCTCCACCCACCCCTTCCAGTGACAAAAAACCAACACTAAAAGAACTCATCCTCACTGAAATATCAGGAAAGGCTTCAAGCTCTGAAGGAGGTGAGCTTCAACTGGTAAGCACAAGTGCGAAGGCCACTGCAGTTGCAGAAACTCTCCCTGAGAAAGGCCCTCGTCGTTCTAGGTTCCGCAAGAACCGTACTGCTGCCCAATGACATTTCCCTAAGTTTTTTTCTTCATACGGTGTACATTTTTTTTTGGTTTTTTTATAAATGTGTACTTAATAGTCAATATTGTATTGGAGAACTTATCCTAGAAACATAACACTTGTATCTGTTTGGAATTATCATCCTCATAATCAAGCAATAATGCATGACACATCATAAATCAGTATGGATTATGAAACATTCAAAAAAGGAAATTAAAGGAGAAACATTATTTCAAAAGTTGAGTAGTAATTTAGTGAGACTTCTTCCGGGAGAAAATCCCTCCAATGGCCATGAGTGGGATGAGTACCGGCTTCTTCTTCTTCTTCTTGAGGGAAGGATGCCTCTCCAGCACGACATTGTCATCTTCCCCGGCCGGAAAATGATGGCGACGCGAAAAGCTGACATATTTTTTCCTCTCGAACCTCATGACGTTGTCACATTCGATGATTTCTGGAGACGACTTATGAAGCTGCAGATCAATCATCGCGGGGGCCTCAATGAACTTGAGGTCCTCGGCCTCGGATTCGTGCCTCTGGGATTGTTGTTTGAGGAGGTGGAGCTCTGTCTTTGTCCGCCTGAGCTCGTCCTGCAAAGAGGAGAGACAGGTAGCCATTACAAAGCTTTCTTCCTTAGCCTTTTGCAGCCTTTGCTTTGTCTCCTCTAGCTCTGCTCTCACACTGCTCAGCTTTGGTGGAACTGCCTCTTCCTTCTGGAATTGAAACCAAAAAAAAACAGAGAGAGAAAGTGTCACTTATGGCCGCCGGCATTATATTCTAATAATGATTCCGTTAAAAAAACCAACTCAACCAAAAGCTTAATGAATAACCTGCTGGAGAGAGGCGTTGTTGGGGTAGAGTTGACGGGCAAGAAGGGTGTCGCCGAAGAGCAACACGGCTTCCTTGACCGACCGGAAGGGGGAGCTGGTGTCGATCTCCGCCGCCTTTCTCTCCATTGCCGTCCCCGGGCCGCCGCTGCCGCCGTCGGCAGATGGTGCTTCCATGTATGGGTGCATGCAGCTAGGGCGTGTGGATGGATCGGATATGATATCAATATTTCAAGTATTTATATACACATATATAATATATATATATACCGTGAAGATGGGAAGTTGGTTGGAGTGGTGTTTTCGATTAGCATTGGATGAAAATGGTGGGAGAGCTATAGGCTAAAAGAGAAGAGAAGGGGAAAAAAAAAGAGGGAGAATTGAATTCGTTTCTTGGCGTCCACTCCAACACTGTGGTATTCTTTGTTCAATATCTGATCTGTTAGCTAAATATGTGACACAATTTCTGTTTGTGTATTCCGCCGATCGAATATAAATTATAAACCGGTGTGACACTCCACCGGTCTCCCCAACCAATTTGGACTTGCCACTTCCACCCTCCATTTCGTCCCCACCATTATCTTTTTTTGCTTACTTCCAAAGGGCGAGTTGAGGTTCATGAGGGTGTTATGAACTACTCCCTACCCGTCCTATAATGTTCTTCCCACTCACTTTTTACACGGTCAAACTTTTATCACTTTGTTTATCTATTTTCATTAGGTATTTGATAAAATCATATAATCTTGTCACCACTTGTTTTGTAGAACTTTTGATGTAGTTTTTAAATATATAAATTTTATTTTTTAATTTTACACCTACAATCAAATAAATTGAATTGAAAATAAAGTCGGTCAAACTTCGTAAAATGAACCGGGAAGAACATTATAGGATGGAGGGAGTACTTCATTCGTCTCCGAGAGTTGTCGATTTTGACTTTTTTTCGGTTAAAATTGGTAAATTTGTCCTTAAGTTAAATAAAAATGATACGGAGTATTAGATATTGATACAAAAATATTTTTATTAGACTAATTATAAGAAATATTTTTAAAATATTATTTTATTTAATTAAAATACAATATATATCTTCTTTAATTATAGGTCAAAAATTACAAACGATAAACTGAAAAAAGTCAAGATTGAACAAATACTCAGGACAGATGTAGTATGTCAAATTGATGGTGTAAAAATGATACTTCTCACACACTTAAAAGTTTAAAGAACCTCTAATTTAAAGAAGAGTTCTAATCTAACTTGAATCATATGTTTAGATACGATAAACTTCGATCGTTGTTGTATTTGTATATATATTTTTTGACAAAATATATTGTTGTATTTATTTTTGGTGTTACTAGATGTTGGAAAAATCTGAGTTAAAATAACATTTACTCCGTAAAAGGTTATTCCATTCGTTTCAAAACAACTTTTTTTACTATTCAAGTTTTTGATAACTTTTGTTTACATGTGTTTTTGTATTAGTCAATCGATAAAATGATATATTTTCTATCGTCATTTATTATATATCACTTTTGATCCAGTTTATAAATATATAATTTGAATTATTTTTTTTATACCAACTTATAAATAACATCATTTTAAAATAGATAGAACTATAGAAGAATATTATAGAATTAAGATTTTTCTAAAAGACAAACGAGCATTTTTTAGCTTCACTATTGTTAATTAATGAGAGATTTAACGAGAACCAATCAAATGAACTCTTTAACAAGAAAGTTAATCTTATCTCATCAGTGGATTGGAACAAAAATATAGTCCTTCCTGCAAATGGACAATTTCCGATTCGAGTCCTCGTGGAGTATGTTTTGATGTTTTTTTAGTTTAAAAACCTACGGAGTACTCTATTTAAAAAAAAACAATTTTTTTAACAACCTCTACTAGTTATCTCCTTTTAGTCCCAAACTTACCTAATATGTCGGCCACCGGCACCGCCGCCAGCGTCGTCGGACCTTTTCATGTCCGGCGACCGCTGACCAAGATGAGATCGCGGCAGCGGGTGGCAATGGCCGTCCGGTCTGCCGTCAGCCTCGGCGAAGCTTCCATCCTGACTAAATTGGAGAAGGACTGCGCCACCCCTCTGCCGGTCTTGCGCCGCGTGGCAAATGCCATGGCCGCTGATGTTCGTTCTGGCCTCGCCGTTGACGGCGGCAGCGATCTGAAGATGATTCTCAGCTATGTTGATACTCTGCCGACTGGGTAACCCTATGCCCTACTCTAATTTGCACTGTTTTTTCCTTAATAATGTCTACTTTTTAACCTCTTCATATATCATGATGTTCATTAACTACAAAACAAGATTCTTTAATTTGTGTGTGTTTTTTTACTTCAATTCCTTACATATGATCATCATACATGTATTCATTATTACTCTGCATTATCATGTGTTCAAGTTGGGAGGGTAATGTCTGCGTACGCACACCCTTCTGCCGCTATTTTCTACTAGATTTTATTGGATTTGTTTGTTTTTTGTAGGTTTTAAAGTTTGAACCCTACTGTTATATAAAGCTGAGCTTTTTAGGTCTATTCAAAATTAAATTGACACTGTAGTCCGGTAATCCGGTTAACGTTCATGATAAAGCATAAGAGAGCAGTCCAATGCCCAAAGCATCATAAGGGTGTGAAGTAGGCAAACTTTACATTGCCTTGATGATTCAACCAATCTATACTTCTAAATGATTTAATTCTTGTATTTTTTTTGCTCTTGAAGGAATGAGAAGGGGATGTTTTATGCATTGGACCTTGGCGGTACTAATTTCCGGGTGTTAAGAGTACAATTGGGAGGGAAGGAGGAGCGTGTAGTTTCCACAGAATTTGAGCAATTGTCTATACCGCAAGAATTGATGTTTGGTACCTCTGAGGTCAGTTATCTTCTGTGCCTAGTTTTCTTTTCTTTAATACGAAGTATAATTTCACGCTTGCATTATCATATGTGGCTTATTCCTTTCCGTCCAGGAGCTTTTTAATTTTATAGCTTCTGCACTGGCAAAGTTTGCACAGGAGGGTGAGAAGTGTCATATGCCACCTGGAAGGACAAGGGAAATAGGATTTACCTTCTCTTTCCCGGTGAGGCAGACTTCTGTTAAATCTGGCATTCTAATCAATTGGACAAAGGGTTTTGCCGTCTCTGGAACTGTGAGTATTCTTGATGACCTCCCCCCCCCAAATATCCAAATCATTAGTCTTATAGCCCATTCAATAAGGATAATTATGGCTGATATTGATGAAATTGCTAAAATATCTTAATTATACAAAAATAGTTGAAATATATTTTATACCGGAGCATATAATATAAACAATTCATGTTGTCAAAAAAACTCTAAAATTATCATCTTCAGTATACGAAGTAAATCCAGCACTACCTCTTTTCATAACTTGCAAATAGGTTTGTGTTTTGTTGAAATTATGGGAAGAAGTGCTTGCCAGACAGGCACTTATTATCCGGTCTGGGAATATATTGTAAATTTGGAATGGTTTCCTGGGTTAGTTCTCCGCTTCCCCAACCAAACACAGCATCTGTTGTTGGTTAATACTCATAACTAAAAGTCCAAAACTTTCTTCTACTTTTGAACGAGGATTATGTTGTTCCCCATCATGTATATATGTCCTCTAAAACCTTTTGATCCAAACAGGACATTGAAGTTTCATACATAAGCTTTCTGTCTAACATAGGGATTGCATGGGACAGGTGGGGAAAGATGTGGTTGCCTGTTTAAATGAAGCCATGGAGAGGCTAGGACTAGATATGCAAGTATCAGCCTTGGTATGTTATCTTCCTTCACCAGCAGATAATAAAATGAATAGAATATGACACCGGACCATTTGAGGGCCCTTCGGTGCTCCATTCGACCCTGAAGTGGTTTCTATCCTCCTTATCCTCAAATCTCCCCAACCCACATTCTGCCCTCTGCTTCGCCAGAAGCATATCGGCAAAACAAGGAGCCTAGGGCCTGGGGGGCTATGGGGGGTAGGAACCACTTTGGAGCCAAGCGAAGCACCGTAGGACTCTCAAATGGGCCTGGGTCCCGGGGTCATGACTCATGACACGGTTTGGTGTCAAAAGAACCTCAATGATCATAAAAATGTGTCTTGAATGACTCTATATGTTTTTTTCTTCACCAGTTTAATTTATATGTGGAGTTTTCCTAGGTTAATGACACCGTGGCAACACTAGCTGGAGCAAGGTATTGGGATGATGATGTGCTGGTTGCTATCATTCTTGGGACCAGAACCAATGCGTGCTATGTTGAGCGCACCAATGCCATTCCTAAACTCTCAGATCATCACCATTCATCATCTGGGCTAATGGTTGTTAGAGTCTTGAAGTGGTTGCGTTGAAATCTTTATATGTAAAAAAAAATTACTTCTTACACTGGCTTTATCATTTCAGGTTGTGAATACAGAGTGGGGAGCATTTTCAAGTGGCCTTCCCTTGACAGAGTTTGATAGAGAAATGGACGCCGACAGCATTAATCCCGGTGAGCAGGCAAGTTATTTTAATATGTCCCTCAACATAAATTGCTTTTGTCGGTCTTATCTATTTGTAAACAAGTGGTTATCAGACTTCTCAACCTTGCATATATGTAATGAAACAGATATTTGAGAAGACAATTTCGGGCATGTATCTAGGAGAGATTGTCAGGCGAGTCCTTGTAAAGATGTCTAAAAGTAGTGGCCTGTTTGGAGACTCCGTCGCGGAAAAACTATTCACGCCATTCGTTCTCGGGTAATTTTTATGTCCACACAAACATCAATTGGTCGTATGTTTCTCATCATCCTCACTAGTCACAAACATAGATTTTTCTCTATAAAACAGGACACCAGATATATGTGCAATGCAACAGGACACTTCCAGAGATCTTGAATCCGTCGGATCAATCCTCTATAAATTAACTGGGGTATATACGAACTTGCATTGCTGTCTAGATGAAAACACTTTCTGAGAATGGCGCTTTGACATTGATGATGTATGTATATCAGGTGAAGTCTGATCCCAGCGCGAGGAAGATAGTGGTAGGGATATGCGACGCCATTGCAAGGCGTGGGGGGCGCCTGGCGGGTGCAGGAATAGTGGGGATCCTTCAGAAGATGGAGGAGGATGAAAAGGGGAGCGTGTTCGGGAGGAAGAGAGCGGTGGTAGCCATGGACGGAGGGCTGTACGAGAATTATCCCCAGTACAGGGATTACCTCCAAGAAGCCGTGACCGAGCTGCTGGGAGAAGAGATGTCAAAGAATGTGGTGATAGAGCATTCCAAAGACGGGTCTGGCATTGGTGCCGCTCTCCTGGCTGCTGCAAACTCCAAGTATGTACGGACACCTCGTTTTCAATCATAGTTCGTAGATAGATGGTAAATTAAATGTCTGTGTTGTAATTATAGATTTACCATTGTGATTAGCTAGGCAGATGCAAGATGAGAGATGAAGGATAATCTTTCATTCTTTCTTTGCTTGCCTCTTAGGAAACGCCAAAGTACGTGTGAATTCATATTCTTCTTTTGTTTTGTTTTTTAGAAACATTTGTGTGGGATGGGAATAAAACTGTAGAAACATGAGGTTCCACCCAAAACCAATTGGCAATACGAGGATTAACTTGTATTCATCATCTTTACACACACACACACACACACACACACACACACACACACACATCCTCAAGGAGGAGGGAATTGAATGAATGAATGAATTAAGGGCACTTGGGCTTGCCGCCGTGAGTGGTCATATTAGCATAGCACGGACAAACATCCTTGTTCCCGGAGGTTCCGGGCGGGACACAGTTGCACCTGCCGCAGCAAGTCTTGCACGCCCTCATGCAGATCTTCTGCCTCGACGCCAGCTTGCACCGCCCGGCGCATGCTGCCCCACAATCTGATACACACACACACACACACACACACACAATCATACAATGGACTTTTAAATTTGTTTTGGGACGGGAGGAGTAATTTTTACGGGCTCGTATATGAAAATGAAATTGAAAATAAACAAACCTATCTGGTGGGGGGGAGGAGGGGCCGCCGCATGGACCGGAACCGCCGCCACCGGTTCAGAAGCAGAAGACTGAGCAGTATGCATTAGTGAAACGAAGGTGACGAGGAGTGCCGACGCAACGAGCAAGCTGGAGAAGGATGATGATGAGATCATTGCACCCGCCATTTATAAATTGTAATTATATGGCTGGGTTAATTAATCTGTTATCCAATAATAACAATGTTAATAATCGATTAATATAATTATCTTATTCAGTAATAGTATATTGGATTGGATATATGAGGACGAGGTGGGGGGGGCGGTATTTAAACGAAATGATTAAGGTCAATAAAATAATTAAACCATAGATTTTAAGTAAGGGATATTCTTTGGTACCCTTGAGGGGAAAAGATGATTAACAATACCTTTTTGGACAGTTTTGCTATCCTTCCTCGTTTTAAATATTTATTCAATCTCCATTTGATATTTAAAAAATTTTCATACATTTATTAGATACGGAGTAGTAATTTTGATTGAATATTATTTTTTTCATTTACTTAAACACTAGCTTGAAATTTTTGAATTTAACAAATCTAGACTCTAGTTAATTTTTAAATTTTGTTGGTCATTTACGTTGCCCATTTGATAAAATAATATATAATCAAGTCATCTCTAATTTTATAAATCTTTTGATATAGTTTTTAAATATGTAATTTTTATCTTTTAATTTCACACCATTTTTTATATAAAATGATTTAAAAATAATATTAGCTAAATATCTTAACGTGTAACAGAAATATAACTTTTAGACGAGAGGTTAATATTTTATCACAAACTTGTGAAAATGTTATTAATACCGGAATTCAAGGGAAAATTATATTATATGTAACCAAATAAGAAGGGAAAGGAGTATGTTATCATTGTTTGTAGGAAATGTTCACGTAAATACTCTTATATTTGAGCAATTATATAATAGTATTTTTAAATTCTCTTTTGATATATTCTTATCTTCTCAATATATCATGTCATATGTATTCATTATTAATTTACTAATCACATCTAAAGAAGAAATTAGAAAGTAAGCATAAAATATACATTTCTTATTTTGGTGAAAAGAGTAAAAAACGGAAATGTTGGCGAAACACATGGAGTATTATTCATATTCCTGTTGCTTTACGTTACCCAAAAGGCCATTTTTTTACGCTAAAAGACCAAAACCCAAAACCCAATAAATCGCTAAATGGGTAAATGCTAGCGGAAGTCGAAGTTAAAAATATGAAGAGATTCGGTTTGGGCGGAAGCCCAAAACCCAATAAATCGAACTGGCCCTTTCTCTAGCCTAACAAAGAAGCTCAAATCAGTAACGATCAGCCCATCTTTTCGCAGCCACTCGAAGACAAAATATTCGAAATGAGAATTTGTTTTGTTCTGGTGGTCTGATTAGAATAAATTTTGATATGATTTAATTTAATTTAATCTAATTGTAGTTATATTTAAAGTTTTTCTAATCTGATATAATGATTTCATTTGTTTTCAATAAAAATAAATAATAAAATTAAGTTGAAGATTACAAGCTCTTAGTCTCTATACATTAAAGTCGCTCTTGGAAAAATATCATTCTATTTTTTTCTAGGTAAAGAGGCCTCCAGATCTTAAATCAAGAGACTGATCTTACTGTCAGATTATTCAATTTTATAGCTATGTTTGTAATTCAATTTTAGAGTAATGCCAGGGATACACCGATTTGTACTTAGATTGCACACACTCGAGCGCGTCTCAAATCGCATGTTACTATCTATTCTTTAATTTTACTATTCAAACAAAAAAGTTACAATCATGTTTGGTGTGCCCCAAACATTGCATCCCGGCCAAAATGTATCCCAAAGGTTATGTGTTTTGATAATTTACATTGACACCAAACGTCAGTGTGATCACAAAATTTTGTCACTGACATTTTGGGTACATCAATGTAAGCCCATCAATTTCGAAATTCCAAATATACTCCGTATTATTTTGTAGAATGTGAGGCTTGATAAAGTGTCACGTCGTAAGTGTGTAAAATATTTGTGTTATGAGTTTTGAAGAAGATGCACGTACTTCCCCATCAAATGGATGGTGAATTAATGGTTTGTTACAATAGTCAAACAAAACATTGAGCTGAGGTGAGAGAGATGGATGGAGGAAGTAGTTAATATATAAGAGTATAGGTAGAAGAAGAATTATTGGATTGGTAATAATTTTATAATTAGAAATTCTACTAATAATAATAATAAGCTAAAGTAGGAACACAATTATTGTTTCAAATGAATTGAAGCTAGGTACATATTCTAATATATAACAGACACAGACAAGCACACAAAGGTATTTATTTATATATGTATTTGAATGAGATACGGACGAGGATTGAAAACGAGATTTTTTTATAAAAAAAAATACACATGGTGCGTATATTATATGAATGATGATGAATTGAAATAATGAAATTATTAATCAAGGGCACTTGTGCCTGCCGCCGTGGGTGGTCATGGTGGCATAGCATGGACAGACTTCCTCGTTGCCGGCCGTTCCCGGGGGGACGCAGTTGCACCTTGCGCAACAAGTCCCGCACGCCCTCTTGCACAGCCTCGGCCGCGACGACAACTTGCACCTCGCCGCGCATGATGCCCCACAATCTGATACATGCACACACACCCATACATTACATGCATAATGTACGTTAACTATATATTCTTCTCATTTGATTTTTCACGATACTTTGACCATTAATATCTTCATTCATACACGATTATGATGTCATAAAACTACGTTTCGAAATCAATCTTTTGGTATTAGGTATCTATCACTAATTCAATACGGAGTATATTATTCTGAATTTTATGCTCAAAATTAAACTTAAAAAAAAATTGACCAAAAAATTACAGTGAGAAGAAAGATGGATGTAGTTAGTAAAATTTAAAGGTTCGTAGGATGATTGAAAATAAATGAAGAAACCTATAACAGAAGTATCCTGGAGTGGAAAGCCCGGTTCTGCTCCGTTCACCGCCGGTTCAGGAGAAGATTGAGCCATGTGAATAAGTGTGGAGAACACGAGGACTAGTGACCCGAGGAAGAAGAAGATGAACAAAGACTTATTATTGTTATGATTATTATTATTAGAGAAGATTAATGAAACCGCCATATTATTATTGATATATGCAGGAGTGGTAATAATTTTAAGTATATATTTTTAAGCTCTATGGAAATATAGATATATATAAATATATATAGTTGTGGAAAATCAAGGGCAGAGGTGGGGGGTATTTAAGGATGATGATGGCAGAAAGAGACAATAATCGTAGAGCTTTGAAAATGTAATAATGTAATGTGATTTACGGTGAGGGGTTTATTTATGGATGATGATTAATTATTGCTTCGGAAATAGTGTTGGAGATTAACGTTAGCGTTTTGAAAAGACTATCTACAAGCAGCGTTTAGCGTTTTCAATTTAAAGTAATCTACACCGTTAAAATTTTGTTCAAACAAGCCCTCCGTATTAAAATCACCACTTGGTATACTTATTATTATTTGACTTCCACAAAATTAGAGAAAAGTATTTAAAAAATAAAAAATATATGCGTGGTTAAAATTTATTTAGACAAGTGAAAAACTTTATAATTCACATTTTTATTACGGAGTAGTAGAAAGAAAATAAATTAAATGACAAATATTTTTTGGATTTCCTTCCAAAAATAGGAAGTGGATAGTTTATTTAATTTTAAGATGGAAAGATCATATAGGGTGTGACCGGGCTAGATATATGTATGTATGAGTGTAGGACATAAAATATCATCAAAAGAATTTTCCAGCTTGGCAAACTTTTGGAGCCTTCCCCAATTTCACGCCGTCCAAACAAGCCTTTGTATGTGTAATCCGGAGAAATAAATGTGGTAGGTGAAGAAAAGCTATCTTATATTCTCTTTCCTAATTTTAATTACAATTTTTTTTCACTTTTCAATTACTTTTACTTAATAGGGAGTATGTAATTTTGATTTTTTCTATAACAATTTGTAAAATAAAATAATTTCAAAAGATACAGAATATTACCTCGTAAATCCTAATTTCTAATCAAAATTAAGATTGAGAAAATACTTCTTCCCTTTCATAATAAAAATCATTCTCAAACTATAGTGATATAATTCTATTTTTCTTAATTTCTGTTTTTTTGGACGAGATGAGTAAAATTGTGGAGAGAATGAATTAAGAAGGCTTTATTTAATTGTTAATGTTTTCCTTCACTTGATGTTTATGGTGGCTGAGTAATATAAAACGAAACAAAGTGCATGGAACGAAATCCATAAAAGATGAAAACAGAGCAGCATAGAACAAATTAAAATATTCTCAATCGATGGTGCGATAAATAATTATGTTTGGAATAAACAAATGAATTATGTGAAATTTGCACTGAATATAAGACTAAAACATAAGTCATTTCTTAATATATGACATAAACTTTTTTTATTCCCTAAATAGGACTTAATAATGACTAGTGAGAAGAATAATGTCCAGGTGATGCTGAACATTTAGTTAAATAATGACTAATAGATAATTTCCTACATTGGGAAATAAAAATATACTCCCTTCGTTTCTTAAAATCATTCCCATTTTGACTTTGAACAAAAATAAGGAGAGTGTAGTTTTGGTTGACTTTTTAATTTTGCCCCTGATGTGATGGGTAAAAATAAGATGTGATAGTTTGGTTATTAGTGAAAAAATATGATGTGATAGGTAGGGTATGAAAACTAGGGGTAAAAGTGGTTTTTTAATAAAAAGTGAAAGTGCTTTTGGGAATTGAAACAAACGAAAGGGGAAGAGTTTTATGAAACAGAGAAAGTATGATCATATATTGAAGAAGTCATTATGTTTTAGTCCTATTTAGATAAATTACCCATGAATTATTGCATCTTCTAATTTAAATCATTATAAGGGATATGACAATCAGGAAGAGTGCATGTAATTAGAGAGTACCGTTCCGAGTATTTTCCAGTTTTAAATTTTTATAATTTAAATTGACAATCTTTGAACATTAACTAAATAAAATTAACATTAAATATTGATATACAATTAATTTTATTAGATTTATATTGAAAAATAATTTTAAAATATTATTTAATCTAATTATCATATTATACTCTCTAAAATTTTTACTTAATTATACGTTAAAAAATGATATTGTTCAACTATCAAAAAATCAAATCTGAACAAACTTTCTAAGATGGGGGGAATATCATCATTTATGTTTAATGCTCCATATGAGCTACATATGTGTTTAATTCTATTTTTTCAAAAAAAAAAGAACAGAGTATATCGGAGTATTTTTATTCAAACGAAGTAAGACTTGTGTGTTGTATTAAGGCTCTATTGGCTTCGGTTGTAAAAATAGAGTGAAAGAAGTAGAAAGATAACCTGAAGAAGTTAGAAAAAAATGTAAAAATTGAAGAAATTAGACGTAGTTAGAAAAAACTGGAAAGAGTTAGAAAAAAGTAAAAAAATGTTGAAATAATTATTTTATTTTATAAATTTTATATTTTATTTAAATAATTTATATTCTACTTTTTTAATGATTTATGTTCTCTACTATTATATTTTCTTAAACCGTATTAGTAATTTCTATGTGATCCGCACACTTATTTTCTTCACTTTTTAAAATTAATATCAATCATATACTCCATAATTTTATTTCTTAATCTTTATGTTACTAATATATGTGACAAAAATAATAATACAAATGAAACAATAGAACGGGATCATATGCACATTGAAAAATCAAAAAATATTCCCTCCGTTCATAAATAAAGTACTCGTTGTGCGTTAAGATGTTTGACTGAACTTATTTTTAAATCATTTTATATGAAAAATGGTATGAAATTAAAAAAATAAAAATCACCTACTTAAATCCACGTGAAAAGATCTACAAAAGTAGATGTGACATGACCCGACTATGCTATTATTTTATCAATTATGACACAAAAATAAACTAATAAAGTGAATAAAGTTTAACTCTGTCAATAGCAAATACGAACTTTATTGTTGGACGAAAGAATATTAATTTCACATAGTTATTTTCTCGCATGTACTCCGACTTTAGAGCATCTATTTTATTAAATTGATGTATGAACATTTATTTTTTGCATATACATAAAGTGTGCACAATATAAAATGTAATGTGCACATTTAAAAGTTATGTAATGCTTAATGAAAGAAAGAAAATAGAGTGTACAATTATTTTGGTCAAAGTTTTAAAAGAGAATTTATGGTCAAAGTTTTAAAACATTGACTATAACACATTTCAAAAAACATAATTAACAAAAGCATCAAAATCACAAAGGAAATTATAAATTAATGAAGTTAAGATTTTAATCATTTACATTGACTCTAATATTAACTAAAATTCATTTCGAGGATAATTTTTTAAATCAATTATTATGACAGTATATAAATTTTTTATTTTATTGAGAAAAATAATAATATTTGAAAATATACATAAATATTTGTTAAGATCATTGTTGGAAGAAACTGAAAGAAATTAATAGAACCGAAAAATGATTAATAGAAAATAGAAGAACTTGGAAAATAGTATAAGTTAAAAAAAATTAGAAGTGGATAGTTAGAACTGAAAGCAACCTAATAAAATCATTATAAGCAATTATAAAGCTATCAAAGAGTCCATAATTTTAAAATGGAATTTCTTTGTGCACCAAAATAAGAACTTGTAAGTAAAATTTGTTCAAAAATATTAAACGATTCAGATCAAGTTAGATAAAAAATGGTATCAAATAATGCATAATTCAACATGGATTTTCTTTTTGCACAAACTAATTTTTAGGTAAAATTTGTACACTAGCTAAAAATTATGACTTTAGCAGTATCAAAAGTCTTACGAAATTAAGATGCATTGATATTGTCTCATAAGTACTTTGACGAGAAGTTTGGTACACTTTTCTTCATATATTTCCATAGTTGAAATTCATCTACGCATCCTCAAATTTCATACTGTTCTTCGGACTTGTATACCCTCCCAAAAAAGCTCCCTCCTATTTGATATTCACTCCGTCTCAAAAAGTTTTTTCAGATTTTAAAAAATGGTGTCATACAATCTCTTTCTCATTTCTATTAAAAAATTATTTTTAGTCCTTACATTTTCATGCACTACTTATCATATCATACCTTATTCCTAATGATTTACACATCGCATCATACTTTTATCCATCACATCAAGCGTATTTTTTGAAAGTCAACACAAAATTATTCATCCTTTATTTTGTCACTTTAGTCAAATGTCCCTCTCTTTATGGGACGAAGGGAATATGCCACAAAGAACGATGCAACTCAAAGTTTTCCCAAAAAAAAAGAGAAAACTTTTTTGGACATCCTAAAAAGAAAATAAAAATATTATAAAAAATAAATGCAAATACAAATAATTTCAAAAGCTATTTGATTTTCAATGGTTCAAAAATATAGGTCAAGGGAAGGGAACTTGTTTATAGTATCTAGACTCTCGATGATTCAAGGGAGGATAAACTACTTCTACCCCAACCTTTTGTACTCCGCAGTTTTACATCAACATATTGTGTTGGTGTAAAACTAATTTTTATTAACACACCAACACTTTGTGTCCGTGTAAATTTTTGTTAATGAACCAATATTTGTGTCGGTGTAAACCATCAAAATGTTTGTATATAACTTCGATGTACAAATGAGATACAAAATTTGGTGTAAATGTAGTATGGTCCATTCATACTAGAGTGTGGATTTGAGGATTGCGGCTCCTCTTTCTTATTTGGAAAATCAGACATTGGGATAGAAATATTAAAATATATGGGTAGAGATAATTAAATTTTGATACTTATTGATTTCATAGGGAAAAATTAAACTAGAAATAAAAAAACTAATAAAAGTATCAAAATATAAACATTGAAAAGATATTAAAATAAAAGTTCTATATTTTTATTTTAAAATTAGAAATTAAAATGCATATACATTACGAATCATGACTATATGCATTACTAAAAAATATAGTAAAATGCACATGTACAACGTTACATTACGTGATTATCGCAGTGCAAATTCTTATTTAGAGAATAAATATATGAAATTTTTATATTAGTATGTTATCTATGTTTTATTCTTATTTAGTGTGATTTCTTATGTTTTTATTTTTTAAATAGAATTTACAATGTCGATAATAAAAATATAATGTAAAAAACATTATACAGTGTCAATAAACATTGTCACATTTTCATATTATAAACTTCTATTTTAGAGATAAAAATATTACTTTTATTTTGATACAAAAAATATTTTATTCATATTTTGAGTAATTTTTTTAATTTCCTTTATCATTTTTTAGGCATTCAATTATCATTATTAATTCAGGAAATAATTTCATCTACTCCGTATTATTGTTAATACTTTAACTTGAAGAAGGAAATTAAGTTTGTATTAGCATCCAAAAAGAAAGAGTGGATGTGGATCAGAAGATCCAAGAAGAAGAACGTTTGATCTGAGGGAGCATCTGCTTGTCTTCCTCAAGAGCAATCATCCCCAGCTGAGATGGATCTTCCAGCATCATCCTCGCCACCAGGTAACCCGCCACCGACCACGTCTGCATCTTCCTCGCCTGTTTCCCCACGAATCGCCCCAGCTTCCCGTCGTAATACTCCGGCCACCCGTCCTTCAGCAGCCGCCCCTCCGCCACCTCGATCGCCCTCCTCCCGATCTGCGGTCTCCCCGTCTTGATACTCGCCGCCGTCAGCAGCCAGAGCAGAACCGGCCACGTCCCGCCGTTGTGGTAGCTCCACCCCGTGTTCTTCGGATCGCACCCCGTCACGATCCTCCACTCGTGCCCTTCCATCGCCGGGTAACAGATCTTCAGAGGCATCTCCCCGACCAGATCCGCCCACCGCGACTCGGTCAGATCCATTATCGCCTAAGACTGCTCCGGCGTGGCCAGGCACGACAGGATCGCGACGCAGTTGCCCAAGCAGAACCACCGGAAATCCATCCTCGCCGGACTGACGTTGCCGATGAAGTAACCGCCGCGGCTGGGCATGAAATCGAAGACCCAATCGGGAAGAGAGTCCGGCATGACGTTGAACTTGTTGACGGCGGTGTGGGAGTACTCCTCCGTCTTGTAACGGTAAATGTCGTTGAGCTGTTTGATGTCCAGCCAGAAGTAATTCCTCATGTGGTAACTCAACGCGTGAAGGCGTTTGATTATTTGGTCTATACATTCTCGGCTTTCTTCGTCTTGCTTCAGCAAAAGCAAAGCACATCGTAATGCCATAAAGAAAAGAGCTTGTATTTCGATTGGATATCCATATATTCCCTGCAAAAAAAATAGTAGAAATAATTTAAGGTCTTGATGATAGACTGATAGAGGAACTAGCTCAATCAAAAGCTGAAATCATATCGTGTGGGGGCTAACCATCCTGCGATCAATCATGGAGCAGCCATCCGCACATAGGAGGGTTGGAAATGTGTCGAATCCTTCGGAGAGACATAGTGTGAGGATGAGCCTTATGCCCCTTTGGCATTCGGGCAATTCGGCTAAGGAAGTGTCCCCAGTTGACTTGGTATATGCGCGAAGCAATATGATCCACCAGAAGCCGGAATCAACGGGAGCCACTCTGCCAATGGCACTCTCACCGAAGTCTGCGATTAGGGTCTCAAAGTTCCTGACTGGGTCATGGAGCACCTTGAAACTGGCTGGCATCACCCTTTCCCCCAACTTGAACTGGTCTATCTTCTTCTCCCACGACTGAAGCCGAAGTGTTTTCAAAAGAAAATTTCTCACTATTTCTTGTTCGCCGTTCATCAACAAAGCCAGAGCACTCGGCACAAAGTCTCTCACAAATACCTGTCAACATTTGGGAAATCAGACACGCACACGATTGAAGAGGCCAAGTCTTAGTGGGTAACTGTTGGTAATATGTCACCTGGTCGTAGTTTAGCTCTTCGGTGGAATGATCAAGTGCTGCAATTGTCCCAACGGGTTGGCCACGAAAGGAAACAATGGAACGCCTTAAGGCACCCCATGCTTCAGACATGAGGGGGTGTGGTTCAAACCCACGAGCTGGAGCCGAAGTTGGAGTGCCCATGGAAGAAGACCTCCTTCCTGGGGAGAACACGCCATTGTCTAAATGGTCACTTGAAGGCAATTCATTGAAGGACCTGTCATCAAATGATCTGTTTCGTTCTATGCTCGTCGGTCTAGACCTTCCCAGTGACCTAGAGAGATCACAATCTCCGTTTTCGAACAAAGAGCCCCCCGGTTCTTGATGATGTTTCATCGTCCCATTTTGAGGCACGGCTAGAGGGGCGTGCGACATTGTGCACTGTTTTCAAAATTTTCAAGAATCAAGATGATGGGTAACCAAATGAAATTAACACCAACCTAACTAAGAACCTGCACTTTCAAGACTCCATATATCATCATCAGACCTCAGTTAATGGGCACATTTTTACAGACACGAAAAAGGAAGAGTATTCCTTACTTAGTACGAGCGATTTTAGCCATATAACTCCGCATTCAAATGAAAACACAAAAACAAAATCAATGCAAAAAAAAGGAGAAGAAAGTGAAAGACCTCGTGAATAACGAAGATGAACCGTAGCAAGAGCGAACCGGAGAAGACGAGGTTGAAGGAGGAGGAAGGCTTATATAGATAAAGAAAAGGTACGCGATGGCGTGAAGTTCATTGGCTGCGAACCGGGGAATTCCGGTCAACAAGTTACACAGACGGAAATGTGCGCCGGTAAAGTACTTCGAATTTGTTTTTTTAAAGAATACTGGGAAGATCAAAAGTTTTTCAACCATACTGTTGTACCCAAACTCTATACCAAAGTTATGCACTGATATTTAGGTTTCTGATAATTCATTCCGATACAATGTACTAGTGTGATAAATTGAAGAATAATTTACCTAAATAGGACTAAAACATAATGACTTTCTCAATATAGGACCATATGTTTTTATTCCCCAATGTGGGACCATTGGTCATTATTTATTAGTTTTAGATTATGAATTGTGATTTCAGATTGTATAAATTGTGCTCTAAAAGTAATTTTCACCAAATCTCGGAGTAATTGTTGTCTAGTTTTGATTTAGTACATCTGTTTTTTTTTTCAAAATTCACCGTACTCACAAATAGGGGTGTATACAAATCAAATAAAATGTATTCGATTCGTGATTCGTATTCGAAAAGGATGATTCGTATTCGCTATATTCGAATCCGAATACAAATCGTATTTTAGATTCGAATTCTTTTCGAATCCGAATACAAATATTAATATATTCGATTCGTTTATTATTCGAATTATTCGAATATTATAATTTATAAATAATTTTATATATATTCTAATATATTAAATATTTGTGTACATATTTTAACATATTTTAACATATTAAATTTTTGTGTACATATAAATTTATATATATTCGAATATTATAATTTATAAATAAATTTATATATATTCTAACATATTTTTACTACATTTTACATTATTATAAAATAATACTCCGTAATTTAATTTCTTTAAGAAATCTATTTTAAGAAAAAAATTACTAATATTTTCGAATTCGAATATTCGAATACGAATTCAAATACGTCAAATATTTATCGAATCGAATATGAATGTTTTTTAAAATTCGAATTATATACGAATCCGAATTCGAATACATATCACTTTAATCGAATACGAATTGAATAGTGATATATTTGCTTCGATTCGATTCGTATACACCCCTACTCACAAACGTCCTCCTTTGTGCAGTCTACTTTGCTTATTTGCAATTTAAATAATTGATAATCATAAACTATCATATTTGATTTTTGTTTCTTAAGGGGCATCTCATCGTTACCATGAGTGGCCCGGAGGGTATGCAAAATGGCCAACCGCACAGGGCTCCTTAAAATTTAGGGCATCATATTTTTAAATTTGTTGATAATTTTAAAGCAAAAGTATTCTAAAAATATAATATAGGGCACAAAATGTAAATTTTGGACCGGGTCAATTTTATTTTTCATTTTTCGGGGCCGGCCCTAATCGTTATTATAGCTTTTGTTAATTTCAAAAAAGAAAGATGCACTTTAACATAGAGGGTTTTTAATGAGATAAAGCTAAGGATGCACCAAAATGGTGTGCCGAATTTATACACCAAGCAAACACAGACATTAATAGTGTACTTCTAGCTTGACCCCTCTTAATTTGATTTGTCCAGATAATTTTAATGTGAAAATACCTTGAAATATATTTCATCTGTCCTAAAATGATCTTCCTAGTTTGATTTACAAAGTTTGACTGAAAATATTTTCAATTCAATTTATTTGATCGTAGGTGTAACATTAAAATATAAAAATTATATATTTAAAACTACATCAAAAGATATACAAAACAAGATATGATATGAGTATATTATTTTATCAAATAACTAACGAAAAAGGTAAAGAAATTGATTATAGTTTGACCATGTAAATAATGTAGATAAGAGCATTGGCAGCGGCGAGTGGAAAAAACGCCTCGCCCTGCCTTGAGAGGAGAGTTGCGATGCGCAACGGCAAGGAAGGAGAAAAGCCGCGAGAGCCAAGGGACGAGTCACTCCCTTTGCGAGGCATCTGCGAGGCAAAATCGCAGGCAATTGTCGTCTCCTTTGCGAGGCATCTGTGAGTCAATTTCACCGTCTCTGTCTGCTCTCCACCCACGCCTATGCCTTGCCGCTGTAAGCCATGGAACTCCACGGTGAATTTTGATTGGTTGTTAGATGCCACATCATCCCGTGGCATTCCATTTTAGACTTGCTACTGCCAATGCTCTAATTTTAATAGGGATGGAATATATAAATGATGAAAAGAATGGAAAAAGTACTCCCTCCGTCCCAAAAAGTCTTTCATGTTTCATTTTTTGCACATCCCATAAAACACTTCTATCCCGTCTTGAATGCCAAAAAAACTTTCAAAATAACTTCTACCTTTAATAAAGAAGAAATTTTATAAATTTTAGGCATTTTAGATATCGTTAGAAATATTTTAAGGGATATGCAAAAAATGAAACAAGAAATACTTTTTGGGACGGATGGAGTATTTTACTATCCATCCTTTAATCGCTCTTCCCTATCTCTCATTTCGTTTGTCATTTCTTTCTCCTCCTAACGGCTCTCTCAATCTGAAGCATCAAAACCACCACCGGTCCTACCTTAACTAAACGGTCATATTTCTCTCAAATCTGCGACATCAATGGCGATACGGGATTCCCCTCGGAGTGCCTCTTTGGATCGGGTAAAATGGCGGAAAGTGTACGCCGCCATGGGGTACTTGTTGCGAACGCAGCAGGCGCAGATTCAATTCCTCCTTAAAGACAGGGAACTTCTTGTAGACAGGATCAAGTTAGAACACGAACGCTGGGTTTCCATGGTTAAATTTTCGCAAGATCAAACCGCTCAGGTAAAATTGGATTTTTTTCCGGTGTTCCGTGGATTAAAGTTAGGGTTTTGGGGGGTTTTCTGAATTCAATTTGGGGATCTGGTTATCGGGGTTCTCTTTTGATTTGGAAATTATGTCCGCAGATGGAGCGTGAACTCAATGTGCGGGATTTACAGAGCGAGGTTGAAGCTGAAGAATGGAAAGTGATTTTAGGACTTAAAGAGCGAGACGCTTATATGCTTAGAGATAAACTTGGTTTGTGATACTTTAGTTTCTTTATGCTTTTTTTCCCCAAGATTTTGCTTTGCTGCAAGGAATTTGTCTGTTCCTAAATTCATTAAGCCTACTGATTGAAAAAATGATGGAGAATAATGAATGTTATTTCAGACTTTGTCACTTTAAATTTTGAATTACTGCGTAGTTGAAAAAAAGAGGCCAGAATTAATCTGTTGGTGCATTGGGCAAAATTAACATTCTCCTTGCTAAGGCACATATTCCACTGAATTGTTGTCATTTTGGCATGCGTGATTTACTGGGATGCTTTCTCATTATCATGTTCTTGTTGTTTACGCGATGCAGAAAAAACAACTGATGAGTTGCAGGGTCTCAGAGAATGTCACGGCATTCTTTCTTCTAAATGCTCTGAGGCAGAAGTATGTTGTTTCAGTTTTTGTGGCACGTTCAGTTTGGCATTCGTTACACTGCATATGTGATCAAAGATTTCATTTATTTTCATTCCGGCAGGGTGTTTCTGACAAGAAAAATCAGAAGGAGAAAAACAAGTCATTAATGAGCGAATTGAGGAGGCTGAAACTTGAAAACCAGCAGCTTTCTGCTAACAAAGACAGTGAAATTTCAAGACTGGTCAGGGAAAAGAGCTTCATCTGGAACCAATATAACACGCTGGAGAATCGCATGAATGAACAACTGAGGGTAAAATGTGATCAGCTTGATACAGCTAACGAAAAGGTCAAGTTGCTTCTGAAAGACAACGAGGAACTTCAAACTGCCTGCAATGATTTGAAGAATCAAATGGCGAATATGGGAGATGTATTAGTTAAGCGAAACGGTGAGATTGCAAGACTTTCAAGGGAGTTACAGATGTTCAAGGACAAAAGTGTTCCTGCAACACCTATGCTGCAACGCTGCTCAACTAGGTCAGGAAACTCGCTGAGGGAGACAACCACCAATGGAATGAAACGGAAGGGTGTAAAGCCGGCGGTTACAGTTTCAATGAATCCAACAGCTTCTGAGAAGGTCCGTCTTTTTTTATTTTTTATTTTAATAAAAAAATGGATTTGTTGGGTTCAATGCACTCTCTTTGCTTGTTTTTCTATGGATCTGTAGTTTCAGATTAAATATCTCTCAGGAAATTGTGTGTTTGAGGTTGTTTCTTAGCAATTTAGTATTTTAAATACAAGATAACATTTTCTTGAAACAATTTTATTTTTGTGCTTGAAGTGAATTTTATTTTTGTGCTTGTAAGTTAAGCATATTTATATTAGACAGAGAGGTATATAACTTAATGTTTTATAGGAAAAAAATACCATTACTAAAACAACTAAGGGAGCCTTAAAAAGATTTTTTTTTTCAGTTGTAGTATAGATGGACTTTTTTCTTGATTACATCAAAATACAAACTCTTGCAATGTGTGGGGCCCATTTTTAAATGACTACATCCAGTTTATAATCTTTGTAGTTATGTTTATGCAGTGGTTTAAACTTAAGTTGTTCATCCCACTTAATGAGCTCAGGGAGAAAAATAATTATCAAAAAAACAGTCTTTGAGAATTATATATCACAATAACTGTTTAAATTATAACTATTTTCAGGGAAATGAGAATTCGAAGAGGAAGCGAATGGATGACACCCCAAAACTCTTTTCTTCTTCGTTCAAAATACCTAAATTGAAGACCCCTGCATCTCAGGTTGGATAATGAATTGATACGATCATCATATCCTCCCGATCGATCTTGTGCTTCTTTTTTCTTCGCATTACGAAACTTAAGTAGAAATTGAGGTGTGTATATGTATCTGGCTATCTGCATATATAGAAAGCTTGACATAGCCCATGTGTGTTAGGATCTGTGGTTCAAAACAAACACTTTAATTTAGAGATGTTTTTTCACTATATTGGCATTGTCTTGTCTGTCTACAAATTGATATGATCAAACACACAATACACACACACTTATTATACATGTACTTCACAGAACTATATGCCAATGACCAAAAGCATAGAACCCAAGCTAGCATAAACAAAAACCAACCCCACATGGTTAACCTGTATAAGACCACAACAAGAAAAGGAAGGCTAAGAGGAAGATGAAAAACACTCGATAACGGACCATGGCAGGAAGCAGGACAAGCAGCAAAACGAACCCCCACAGGGAACCCGAACGGCTATTAACAGTACTACTTCTCATGGGCTGGGACATTGGCCTTCTTGTCAGCCAACGGGTGTTACCCATGGTGACATGCACATAGAGGAGGACGAAGATGATGATCAAGTATAGCTGGAGAAAACCATGGTGGGTGCTGCTGCTGCTGCTGGTGGTTCTGGTGTTGTTGTAGGGTTCGTCGTTCTCCAAGAGCAGGAAAAAGAAGAGCACGCCTGAGAAAACCATGAGAGGCAAAGGGGGTGCTGAGATTGATGGTGATGGTGAATACATGCTTTGCTGCTCTCTCCTGTTCAATTCTCTCCTCTCTTTTCTCATTTTCCACTTCTATTCTCTCTCTCTCTAAAGATAATTAAAAAGATAAATTGGATAAGTGTGCTTAAATTTCTCTGATTAGTTATATATATGTGTGTGTGTTATTAATAATTACTACTTGAATGAGTTTTTTGTGCCTAAGTTTTTTTTAATAGACAATAAAATAATAAAAGAAGTTAAAAAAATTTCAAATATTTTTTGAATGTGAATTTTTGAATAGACAATTTAAAATTTTATTTTATAAAATATTACTCTGTAATTATATACATTGAAACACACTTTAGTTGGAGTCCCTTCAATTTTAATTGGGGTCAAACAATACATAAGTGTAAAAAATTAACCTTAATATCAAAAATTAGTTGGGGGCCATTGCCTCCTACTCCTAAGGCATAGGTCCGCCTCTGGGTACCATTTGTGTAATTTTTAAAATTTATGGAGAATTTGTGTTAATTCAAAAAAGTTGTGGAAGAGATAGGAGCAAAAAAAAACTCATTAAGGAATACGTAAGAAGAGAATGGTGGAGGGTTTAGGTGTGTTTATTTGGTTAAACGGTGGTTGCCACGTAGGGCAAATGAATTACGGGCACTTTCTTATTACGCATTTTTTTCTCAAACTCGGTCTCTACGGTGGTGCCAAAATAGGCGTGGTTTAATTTAAAGAGATTATATATGACGCAATTTGATTTTATTGATGCAAGAAATAAATTTGTTTGAATAATGCCAAATCTAAATAGATAAATGTATGGAATATGTTCAGGTAACCTCGAGAAGAAAATATCCCACGATGGTCTAGATTACAACATCCTCAATTAACTTTGATCTAATATATGAGATCTAGTATTAGCCTATGACACATTTTGACCTTAAAACTATAATACCATAGTTCTACAAGAATATCTTGTCAAAATGTTATACGGATTTTGCTCCCTCAGATAAAATTTACTACTACCCGATTATCTTCTTTTTTTTCATAAGACTATATATCAACATTTGTTTTTTCTCATAAATATAATTGTAATATCAGTAAAAAATAATGGTAAAATAACATCTAAAAATATAAGTAGACACAAATCGGTCTCCATTTATTCAATGTTACTCCCTCTGTCCCATTTTAAATTGTTTGTTTTCCTTTTTTGTCTGTCTCAAAATAAGTTGTCTGTTTCTTATAATAATAAACTTTAAGAGTAAAATATCTAAACTACCCCTAAAATAAATCACTCTTCTCCACCTTATCTTCTCATTCATCACCACTTCCGTAAAAAAAGTAAGGCATTTTTGAAAGATCACCATCGCTTTTTTCCTTAAATATGTTCTAAAGTCGAAACGGCAATATAAAATAGATCAAAGGAAGTATAAAACAACAAAATTTATGAAATAAAGGCTAAAATTTATACATTTTGACTCGAGAAAAAAAAACAAAGATAAAATTTATTTGGAGACCAATGGGTATTTTAAAAGAAGACAATCAATTTTTACATTTACCACAGTCCACATCTAATTAAATACTCCAGAACACGTACTTTTAAAAACGCGGTAATGAAAACTTCACAATGTAAGAAAATATTCCGCTTATTACTTGAAGTGATTTACCATTTACCGGATAATAGATTTTAGAAGGGGAAAAAAAGAGAATCCTTATTTCTTACACTACAAAGTTTATCCCTTCTACGCCATTGATTATTTCCAATTGTATGTTTCTGTATTAAAGTCTGAGATAAAGCGTCTGAATATATGGAAAAGTGATACTCGCACTAGATGAAAAATTAGTGATAAGAGCTTTGTAAGATTTGTTTGTTTTGCTAAACGCATTGCAGCATATAGAATTTGAAATCTCAAGGATTTGAACATATGATAACTTTCTGAAAAGCCGGCGCTTGAGAAAGAGTTTAAACAGGAAAGGCGAATCAATCAAGCATATGAAGAGTCATTGAATGAAAATGATAATCTTTTTTTTTTAAAAAAAACGTAGCTTAGGAAATTGAGGGTGTCTGGTCTTGGTGAAGAAGCTCTTATTAAGAGTCATACTCTTGATTTCCGTCATTGTATTCCTCTTCTTCCTCGTCATCAGCAGTGGCATCTTGGTACTGCTGATACTCCGCCACCAAATCATTCATATTGCTCTCCGCCTCCGTGAACTCCATCTCATCCATCCCCTCCCCTGTGTACCAATGCAAGAAGGCCTTGCGCCTGAACATGGCCGTAAACTGCTCGCTCACCCTCCTGAACATCTCTTGGATTGAGGTCGAGTTCCCAACAAACGTCGACGACATCTTCAGCCCGGTTGGAGGAATGTCGCACACACTTGACTTCACGTTGTTGGGGATCCACTCCACGAAGTAGGACGAGTTCTTGTTCTGGACGTTGATCATCTGCTCGTCCACCTCCTTTGTGCTCATCTTCCCTCTGAACATGGCAGATGCAGTCAGGTAACGCCCATGTCGGGGGTCGGCTGCACACATCATGTTCTTGGAGTCCCACATCTGTTGGGTCAGTTCCGGGACAGTGAGGGAAATGTATTGCTGAGACCCACGAGAGGTGAGCGGAGCAAATCCCACCATGAAGAAATGGAGGCGGGGGAAGGGGATCAAATTCACAGCCAGTTTCCGAAGGTCGGAGTTCAGCTGCCCGGGGAATCTTAAACAGCAGGTTACTCCACTCATGGTTGCAGAGATCAAATGATTGAGGTCGCCAACTACGTATAATAACGAAAAGAAAAAAGAAGCATTGTTAATGATGAACTTTGAGTGTTCCTTGTTAAGGCAAATATATGCTATAGAGATGATACTGAAATTGGAAACTTGAATAGCCACTATTTCATTATAGTTGTAATGCATGTTTCGCTTTGCCAAATTAACAAGGGTATGTTGCAAGGTGACTATGAAATTGGCTCTAAATCAAGAAGTTAAGAGCCAAACCCATATAAAAAATGAATGTTGAATGTCACTGAGCTATATAGATATGGACTTGAGGAGACATGTGTGTAAGTACTCACAGCTTGGGGTGCTGAGTTTCAAGGTCCGGAAACAGATATCATAGAGAGCTTCGTTGTCAAGGACCATGCATTCATCTGCATTCTCCACCAGCTGATGAACAGAGAGTGTTGCATTATAGGGCTCCACAACTGTGTCAGAGACCTTTGGTGATGGGAAGACAGAGAATGTGAGCATCATTCTATCTGGATACTCCTCCCTTATCTTTGAAATCAAGAGAGTTCCCATGCCAGAACCAGTACCACCTCCAAGTGAGTGGCAAACCTGGAAACCTGTCATTAAAGAAATGAGGGTTATGAGAAGCACCACTCAAGATCTATTTCTTTGAAACAAGTTTCATTTAAACATTGAATATGCTTGCTACTCATTGGAATGAGATTTTAGACGGTGTGACTTGTTCATTCATGTACGTGAAATTTAAGATAAGAGTAGCTATTAATCATGCAGCAGCACATAAAAATTATTGAGTAACAAATTGAATACCTCATTCTAGGGGGAGTCCGCATTGAACATTAAATCAATGGCCCACATAAATGTGAACAAATTTATAAAATAAAGACAATGAATAATACTACTACAAATTATTCCAAGTGGGTGCGTGAAGGTGCGTCCCTACTTAACTAAAATCCATGTTACTCATAAATGTGGACAAAAGTAGCAGAAAAAACAATCACTGCAAACCAATTGCTAGTCACATGATGCAGTCTTCAAAATGCAGGACATTGATTGACTAAGATGTAAATGGTTTTATCTTTCTCCCTCCACACCACGGGCCCGCAAACTCGGAAACACTAATGGTGTTCATCGCTTCATCCACTCAAAGAATCCATTCTAGTGTGGACTTGGAGACGGGCACAACTCCATAATGTACAATAAATAGCCTTCACTTACAGTTACCAAGAAAACATGGTGGAGAGATGGTATATTGTTTTGGGTATTCATAGTTTCAAATAAAATTATTGGATCCAGAGCTGGTAGAATTAACTTCATTTGTTTTTAATCAAAAAACCATTAAATCTATAAGATAAAGTTAAAGTTCATCAAGATGGCTGGTGGAGTAATTTAGCATGAATTCAACTTAACCTGATCGAGTTCCAGAAATTTTCCATGCATTTCAAAGCACTTTAACACAATGTTATGAAATTTAGAACCAAAAGGCTACAAAAAATAAAAAATAAAAGAGAACATATAGCCCACATAGCTAAAGGTAAAGGGGAAACTAATATTGAAAGGGATTTAGTTTCAGCATAGCATTCTTAATGTGTACAAAATGCAGAATCATATATATGTATAATGTGAGAATTAAGTTATGATTCAGTTAATCATGAAAACCATTTGTGCTATGTGAATAGTTTCAGACAAAATTGTAAAGGTTTCACCAGAGTATAGACATATCTCTCCTCATCTAGGACA